AGGAATTGGATGGCATTCTGGAATCACACAGGCTAAAGTTAGCTGACATGAAGGACAGGGCAAGGCGGAACAACCTGCGGTTCAGAGGAATACCAGAAACAGTTCCAAATGCCGAGCTACAACATTATCTCTCAAAAATGCTCCAGAGCCTGGTACCAGAAATACATCCAGATCAACTACTAATAGACAGAGCGCACAGGCTGCGCAGACCGAAACACCTGCCACAAACCACTGAGAGGGATGTAATTGCTAGAATACACTTTTTCCACGCAAAAGATAAGATCATGCAAGCCAGCAGGACCCCAGGTATGCCGAACGAATACAGCTCCATCAAGATCTTGGCGGACACTCTCCAATTACGAAAATCAATGGCGCCGATTACTTCCACCCTGCGGGAGCACAATCTGAATTACAGATGGGGATTCCCTGTCAAACTTCTGATCTCCCACCAAGGGGCCATACATGCTATCATGACCCTGCAGCAAGGCGCCCAGAAACTAGGAGATTGGGGGATCCCCCAACCGGCGACAGAGCCAGCTAAAACGAGAGTACCCAGGATGGACTGTCAAACGAAAGACTGGTCTTCCCCTGGAACACGCGTAAATATTCTATAAAAACTGTGCAAATTAAGGTGCTAAAACCTCCAAGTTATAGGGATGTAGCTTAATACTTCCTTAGCCATAATGCAATTGTTAATGTTGTTATGCATCAAACTACATAGCCCACAATACGCAGCATAGACTGCTGGTTAGAATGTGACGCTGCCCAATAAGCCTCTCAATCACTCCCCCACGGGGGCACAAGCACGATAGAGGGACATTTTAGGCATGCTGCCAACCTACAGCGAGGCTAAGTTTACCAAATTGTTGAGATTAGTTAAGTGTTGTTCATGACCTGTTAGTTTTACAATTCGGTGTTACAAGTGCTCTTTTGGTTTCATGGTGAAAGTCTACTATGTGTGAAGACCTCACCACCACTACCCCCACCAGACGGGCCTATTCACTAGGCGAGTCTCGAGGCTCCATTTCTCGGAGCCGAGCTGGGTGTGTCACCCACCAGTTCTTCCAACCCCATCCCACCCATCACCGTCCTACCCCCTCTCTCCCCCAGTCACGAACCCAAAAGCCAGAACAGCAGTGCCACCACAAACATGCAAAGCTGACATGCTGCGAAAAACCAACAGCACCAGCGGCATTGCAGCCCAAGCTTCATAGCATCCTTTCCCTACCTATGCACCCATGGTTAAGATACTAATGTATAATGTAAAAGGATTAAACTCCCCGGGTAAACGCAGGCTATTATTACAGGACCTAAAAAAAGAGGAGATAGACGTTGCGTGTATACAGGAAACGCATTTCACCAACACTCGAACCCCTGCAATCTACACAAAACTTTATCCAACACAATATCATGCCACTTCTCATAACAAAACGAAGGGAGTCTCTATTCTCATACATAAGGCCATAGCATTTCAAGAACAAGTAGTCTCTGTAGACCCCCAGGGAAGATACGTAATCCTAGTGGGTCTCTTCAATAATGTCCAATATACATTGGCCTCTGTATATTTCCCCAACACTGGATCAGAAAAATTCCTAAGACTCATACTCAAAGAGACAGATAAATTGAGACAGGGGGGATTGGTGTTGTGCGGGGATTTTAACTTTATAATATCCCCAGACATAGACTCAATGGCACTCCCAAGAGGCACTAGACGGGCGAGTATAGTATCCACAGGCAAAAAAACTGTCCAGGCTACTTACACTACATAACCTGTACGACAGCTGGAGAATACTCCACCCAAGGGAACGGGATTACTCCTTCCACTCCAAAGTACACAATACCTACACCCGCATAGACACCTACTACGTGGACCAATCCACATTAGCACAGGTAGCCAAGTGTACGATGGGAGACATCACCTGGTCAGACCACGGCCCGGTGTCCCTGGATCTGTACGATAAATTTCAGTTCAAGGGTAGAGGGAACTGGAGGCTAAACGAGTCCTTACTACAAGACAGTAACTTCGTGGACCAAATAAAGGTAGAACTCAACAATTACTTTCAGACAAACTCTGATGGTGAAACATCGGCCTTGACCATCTGGTCGGCCCATAAGGCCGTAGTCCGTGGTTTATTTATTAGGCACTCCTCGTATCTTAAAAAACACAGACAAGCGACTATATTGGACTGCCAACAACAATTAGCAAACTTAACTGCCCAAAATAAATGCGCCCCCTCACGAGCCCTTGCACAACAAATCCAAAATCTACTAGACAAACTTACCGAATTACAGGCGGCTAATGTGGATTGGTCATACCTGCTACACAAACTCAAAGCGACCCAATACCACCACATCGGGAAAGCCACCAAACAACTAGCTAACAGGCTAAGAGCAAAACTAGCAGCCACCAAAATAGCACATATACAGGGCCCAGAGGGTAGCAAAATAAAAACCCACTAGATATCACTCAGGAGTTCGCCAACTACTACTCTGGCCTGTATAACCTGGGTGACAGACCAGATATCCCCCCCATACAGGACAGTAACATCAGGGAGTTTCTAAATTGATTACCCCTCCCTAAAATAAATCAACACCAAATGGAACAACTACTTCAACCTATTACTCTACCAGAAGTACTCCATACAATAAGGAACCTCCCCTCAGGAAAAACACCAGGAGCAGACGGCCTACCAAACCTGTATTATAAAACATTTGCAGAAATATTAGGCCCTAAACTTGTCCAAATATTCCAGGCAACTACAGACTTAGTGGAGCTTCCCCCTGAGATGCTACTAGCAACTATAGTTACCCTGCCAAAACCAGGGAAAGCCCCAGACCAATGTAAAAATTTCAGGCCAATCTCATTATTAAATACGGACGCTAAGATATACGCAAAAATCTTGGCCTCCAGACTGGGTAAAATCCTGCCCTCGATCATTAACGATGATCAAACAGGGTTCGTGATCGGAAGGCAGGGGCTAGACAATACATGAAAACTGTCCCTACTTATGGAGGAATTGAGAAGATCAGTCCCGGGTGGGCTACTGTTAGCTCTGGACGCTGAAAAAGCGTTTGACCGCCTAGGTTGGTCCTTCTTAAAACAGGTCTTGTCGATATTTGGATTCCCACAACAGTTCATTCAGCAAGTATTCGCCCTATATTCCCACCCCAGGGCCCAGGTACTGCAGGCAGGATTTAAATCAGACCCCTTTCGAATTACAAACGGCACCCGACAGGGGTGCCCTCTGTCCCCCTTGCTGTACGTGCTGGCCCTGGAGCCCTTACTAGTAGCCATTAGATCTCATCCTGATATCAAAGGCGTAAATTGGCACGGCTGACAAATCAAGATTAGTGCATTTGCGGATGATGTCCTTCTGTATGTTTCCCACCCCGATGCCTCCCTACCACACATAATGCAACTTATTAAGGAATACGGAGGTCTCTCCTATTACTCCTTAAACGCCTCCAAAACACAAGCATTAGGGTTACGCTTGGACCCACAAGTCCTCGCACATTTACGTAAAGATTACCAATTCGAATGGCGGACAAATGACATCAAATACCTAGGCCTGACGTTCACCAAAAAAGTCTCCGATATGTTCCCAACTAACTATACCAAAGTATGGAATGAGTGCCTGTCCTTATTGTGGGGCTGGGAAAAATTGTTCCTCACTTGGACGGAACGTATTGTTGCTATTAAAATGTCGGTATTACCAAAACTTCAATATGTGTTTAGGAACCTCCCGTTGAAGGTGCCACAATCCTATTTTAAAACCATACAATCTAATCTGCTGCAGTTTACCTGGGGAACAAGACGAGCGAGAATTTCTTGCAGACTATTATCTGCACCAGTGAAGCAAGGGGGCATGGCATTTCCAAACGTAAAATCCTATTACCAAGCGGCAGTCTTAACCCCCCTACTAACACAT